AGGCTTCCTCTTTCTCTTTGACCCTTTCTCGCCATCTCTCTCTCGTTCTCTTCCCCACCCCTCTTCCATTCACCATCAACCCCACACAACCACCACTCCTCCCTCGATGCCACCCACAGCCACTGGATGTCATCAACAGCCACCAAAATCCCCGACGCCATCGACCAGGTATATTTAGAACAGCCACCAATTACTTTTCTGGTATTGATTTAAAACATTGTGTTTAGAAATCAGCAAGGTTTCTATCTCTCTCGCCTTTCTTTTTCACTCTATCGACCCACAAGCCCTATTTATCTCCCCCTACTCTCTCGACGAAACCACCACCATCATTCACCCCCTCTTCCTCCTCTCCCCCAACCGAACAGAAAGCACCAGAACCCCCCGGCCCACAGCCACCACCGTCATTTTCTCTTCGTTTACTCTGTCAACCCACTATTGGCAGGTATTTGTAATATTTCTTCAATGAGCTAGGTACGTGTATTTATATATTTATTTAAAGATTTAGGTTTTCACGAACACCCTAACCATCTTTCTCACCCTCACGCATACCCCTGCAACTTACCCTCACCGTTTGCCTTGTCTCTTTCTCTCTCTCACACACACAAAGACATATACACCCTGCAACTCACCAACGACACATACTCAGTAACAGAAACAGTAATGAAGCTTGGAATTTGCTACCAAATAACCAAAAGTAGTTCAGTAATAGCCTCCCCTGTTGCCCAAGGAGGTCACCAAAATGTCATATCTAAGATTTCGAAGCCATACAAAATGTATTGACTCCATTTCTTTAGTTATAACTTTTCAACAAATTTTTAGCTTCAACCACGCAATTTTGGAACCTGACAAACAACTAACATACCAAGATTCACATTCTCAGCTTAGAATTGTTCATTTATGAGCTATATAACGTCGACTGCATGAAATTTGGGTCTCCAAATTTAATTAATCTAGCCAATATTTTTATGCGACTAAATATCTCTACAACAAAGTAATTGAACAATAAGACAATTCTAGTCTAAAGACAGACTCAAAAAAAAAAAAGAACTCTTAAGGATAGATGAGAACCCGAAGGACATTCCAGCACAATGAATATACTTCTTTTTCCTGTAGACAAAATACAATGGGACATCAATAGGTATTCTAAAGAATTTCATCTGTCTACATAACGAACATCATCATATCTGCTTGGCCTATCTTGTTGAATCAAAAATAGAAAGCAAACCACTAAACTCTGCCACTGTAGTCGTGTAACCTGTTGTAGGGTAGCCCAATCTAACCTAAACACGAGCCATGCTACTGTAGTTATCTTATTCAGTTGTGAAGACATTATAAAAACTCGAAAACACCAAAACCTATTCATATCAAGCATGGGTACGTAAAGGACAATGAAAGAACAAAATTTGAAATAACAGCAGGGAAAGTCTAGATAGATAGTAGGGAAAGTATTCGTAGCAAAAATTTAGTACCTGTTGAAGCACTACAATGGTGATTGCACAATGCCAAGACAGTGTGTGTGTGTGCGCGCGTCTAAGAGAGAGAAAGGAAGGAGAAGTGTGTGAACTGACTGAATATGAAAGGTGGGAAATTTTCAAAACTAAAACTCTTGCCATTCTAATCGGTTACTGGTGCATTCATTGCAATCTTGCAAATTAAATCTTGGAATATGTATAGCCACAAAAAAGGGCATTAAGGAAAACAAAAAAAAAACAAAAGGGAGGCAGAGAAGTTGGGAACTTAAAACAAAGATGAAATGATGGGTACCCCTTCACCTGATTGTTTTTGAGATACTTGAATACGCAAAGGGAGAGATTAATACGCAGGAGACTAAGAGGGGGAAGATGAAGAGAGGGCTCGTGTGGCTGGTTGTCTTTTCACTTTTCACTCACTCCTGAATATGTAGGGAGAGAGAGAATAAATAATTGTAATTGATAATGATAAGATTTCAGTTTGGCCTGCTCATCCAAAATTCAGAGTATTTAATGAGCTCAATGGTTTCGTAACAGTCCAAATGGCTCCTCTGCAGCCCATCCGCTCTGCAGTAGGAATGAGCTGTAACCCAAAGAAGAGAGTTTAACAAAACCTAAATCGGTACGTTCCTGTTCAGCCATGTCAAGTTTAGTGGAAAGCAGTTCGGAGATAAAGAGTTCGGTATTTGCCAGACCCCAAACACCTTTCATCACGCCACGTGTTCAGGGGATAGCTTCTAGAACTATTAATGAACGTGTATTCACTGGTAAATAGAATATTTGTACACATTCCATTGAAGGATCGTGAATATGATTGTTAAGATAAACAGTTACCACTACAAGACAAATAGGAGAGGATCACAAAGTCAACCAAGGGAAGAAAGAGATCACAGGAAACCTTAAATAACTACTTGTATATAGAGAACACTATCACACTGTAAGAGGGATATCTGAAAAACCTGTACTCATGAGACACTATTCATAATAACTCTAAGTTAAGAAACTTATTGTAATTTTCTCTTTCAAGTAATATAAACCTTACAGAACAAAAGTCTCTATTACAGGGAACGTAATCCTAGTCTTTTAGTTAGGGTGAACCACTTATATATTATCTTTGATTCAACTGCATCCTCTGCTATCTATGTTAGTCTAAGATTCACACTACCCCCCTCCCATCTTATTGTTGTTCCAGAATTAGGCTGAACATTTTTGAGCACTATCAGTTACAATAGAATTTTAGAAGGTGTGATGATTTAGATTTAGTTGAAAATAAATTTACACGAAATTTAATGTTATGATTTTGGAGGCTAGAATTGAAAAAATAAATTTTTTTAGACATGTTGATTGAATTTTAGGAGGCAGTGTGATGATTTAGGTTTAGTTGAGAAAATGTTTACGCTAACTTTAATGTTGAGGGATAAGAATGATATCGTTATGATTTTGGAGGTTAGAATTGAAAAAATAATTTTTTTTTAGATATGTTGATATTTTAAAATAGTATAAATATAAATATAAATATAGATATAAATTAATTTAGTGATAAGAGTTCAAATTAAGCTCAATAGTTTGATAAATTTTAAAATATATTTAAGTTTGAGGCATTTATTTCACTAGTCAGACTCAAGCATTCCCTTGATCGAGTGAGTCTCATTAACCATTGAATCCCACTTATCAGATTGAGTTAGGATTGATCAGATTTAGATTTCATTGACTGATCAAAATCAAATTTATGCTAATCTCGCCCTAAAACGGTAAATTATAGATGATTAACTTTGGGGATTGAAAAATAAGATTAAACGATGTTAAATATAATAAAGTAATGATTAATCTTAACAAAAATTATTTTGGAGGTTGATTAAAATAAATTCTTTAATTTGGAGGTTAAATTAAGACGATTAAAAATCTATTGGGCATATTAAAATAGAGGTCATAATTAAGTGACATTTGTGAGATTTGCCCATAAATAAACCCTAAACTCATTTGACTCTCAACCCATGAAAAAAAAAGGTGTAAACTTTACTAATGGATTCTTATGTTGATTAAATTCTTAAACTAATTTTTTATGTCAATTGACTTTCTAAACTCTCAAATTTTAACAATTATGCTTTTGAATTAATTTTTTGTATTAATTGAGTCCCTAAATTTTAAAATTTTGTCAATTAAGACCATATGTCAGCAATCGTTAGATTCTTAAATGGAAAGTCTCACATGTTTACCATATGAACAACAAATTAAAGGCATTTTAGATTGCTCATTTGAAACTTATCAGACGAAGAATCTCATTTTGTATACCCATCAACTGAAATCCTAAACATAAACTTCTTTCGTACCGATAAAATAAAATAAATCAATAAGCTCTTTGATCTAATATATAAAACAGATTACATAAATATAGGCTCTTCGAAAAACTTGTTAAATTATTTCGTTTGATAGATATGAAAGAGGTTTTAAGTTTAAGATTTTATTTGATGGGTATAAGGAATGTGATTATTTTTCTGATAAATTTCGAATGAACAGTTTAAAATACCTCTAATCTATTGTCCATGTGGCAAGTACATGAGACATTTCATCAAAAAACTTGATGGTCGACAGAAGGGCTTAATTGTTAAAAGTTTAGAGTTTCTCAATTGATATAAAAATTAAGGCTAATCTTAACTTATCCTGTGAAAGATTTTAAAAATATCAATTTATACTTTAAAAGGCATAAATTTGTATCAATGTGCACCGAGATTAACTAACATCTATTTTGCAGTTAAAAAAGTTTGGAATAATTATAAATTGTACATTCAAAATTTAATTATTTTGTATTTATGATTAAAAAAGAATTACATCCATTAATACTAGTTAAATATCTTTTAATTGTGTCATATCATGTTATTTTGTGTCATGTCATATCATTTTCATGTTGTGTTTGAGTGAATAAAAAAATATTTTTAACAAAATATTTCCATGCTGAGTTAATTGCGTTATGTCGTATATTTCACATTTACGACAATTTATATAATACTATTTACTATTTTTTTTAAATTATAAAAATAATTATTTTTTGCTTACAATATTCATTAAATAGTCATTTTTTGTCTACAGTTGTATTATTCATATCTAACTTTAATTTGATCGAAAAATCAAAAGATTCGTGTCTAACTGTAGATAGAAAATAGCTATTTAACAAGTATTATAAGTAAAAAAATATGTTTTTTATATTTTTTCTTTTAGATTTTAAAAATATTTTTTTATTGACTCAAATATAACACGAAATTATTATGACACGATACAATTTAAAGTTATTTAACAATCATTAATGGAAGAAATTTTTTTTGGATCATAAATATGAAATATTTAAACTTTAAGGATATAATTTATAATTAGTTTAAACTTTTTTAATGACAAAATAGATGACAGTTAATGCTCATTGATACGAATTTATGTTTTTCAGATATAAATTAATATTTTTAAATTTTAACGGTACAAATTAAAATTTAAATGATGTTGCACAAGTGAGATTAGTCCTAAATATTATTTCAGAACTTAATCGAGAGAAGAGTCAGTTTACTTTAAAAAAAAAAAATTCTGGATGGTTCTGCAAGCAAGCAGGAACAACCGATAATGGGTTGGGTGTGGAAGGGTGATGAATCCTCCGAGAATTCCCCTTACGGTGACATCAGTGAGTTCTCAGACAAATCAAACCCTATGTCTGGTGACCGATGCGCCACGCGAAAGGTCGTGAAATCGCAGTGCAGAACCGAAGAGGTGGAGCCGGGAAAATTTGTCAGAAAGTGCGAGAAGACTGAAGAAATCTTCAAGGATTTCCTAGGAAGGTACTTCCGAATTCTTCTTGTATTAATTTGTTTGGTTCGATTTCATTTCGGTTGCTTAGAAAATGGTAGAAAAGAAGAGAAATTTTGTGATTTTGGATCTCTTTATCTGTTTTGAGAGAGATGTGTAATTGGATATTCGATGCGAATCCGAATTTTTTGTGTTTGAAAATTTCAATTTTCATTTTCGATTTTTTTTTCTCTGATGTTCACTGAAATTACCCTGTATATAGGCGCTTTTTTGAAGACACAAGATAATACAGCCTCTCAGTAGTTGCACTCTTTCATGAATTGTTTGGAGTGCACTACAATTAGGGTTGTTAGTCGAGTCTGAACCGAGCCGACAATTTGCAAATAAACGAGTCCTGTCGAGTTTGAGCGGAGGTTGTACTTGTTTAGAAAACGAACCGAGCGTGAACAAGCGAGCCGAGCCCGAGCCAAGCTCGAGTAGCTTAGTTTGATTAACAAACCTAACTACAATTCACATGTTTCTGCTATTGTAAATTTGTAGCACGAACAGGATTTTGCTATTACAAGCTGTATGTTGTTGGGATGACTTCAAGAAGAAGACACCTCCACCTCCACCTCCACCTCCCATTCCCCCTCAAACGGTAAAAAATATTGGGTGCAACCATTGCACCATATCAGCAGGGTCAGATTATGTAATGGTCCACTAATAGCAAGAGGCCTCACTTAAATCCATAATCGCCCAGTCATGTCATACATATCTACTGATAGGAGGTGGACCCTATTTTACTCTTTTTGTTCTTTTTTCATTGGATGGTTACACCCAATATTTACTCAACAAAAAGAAAACAACCCCAACCCAAAAACCCACAAAGGGTTTTGATTTTTTTTTCGGGGGGGAAGGGGTGGGGGGGATGGCAGAGAATAAACCCTATTTGTGAACAGGTAGTCTGACTTTCTGGACCAGATAATCCTCGAACTAAGTGGATCTGCTTAGAAATCTGAAAGCATTAATTCATAACGGGAATGCTTTTCTGAGTTGTTTTTGTTGTTTGACTTGAAAGTTGGAATCAACTTCTCTTCTTGATTTCTATTAAGGGGCTTGGGTGGAATCAATAAATTTGAGAACCCAGCTTGACTGATGGTCAGAAAGAGTGGATGGGAGACATTTTATACAACTTACAAATATATTACTAGAGTGCTGGAAGGTGAGGCAGCTTGTTTCCCGACCTATGTGGACAATATAATTATGTACGTGCTTGTCTTATGTGGGATGCAATGAAATTTGTTATGCTTTCTGGCTCCTAGAGTATGGATCCTCTTTCATTCATTGAGCATGATTTTGGTGCTGTAAATATAAAGAATCCTCACATTCAATTCAATTGTCAAATATTTGGTTGATTGTTTTGTTTAGACTAGAAGCCAGAATTGGCGTGATGGCAAATGCTCACCTACCAAAACAATACCTCATGAGTTTGAGTTTGTGAACCCGGCTCTCCAAAATGGGGTTTAGGTTGTCTACCACTTATCGGCAGACCCCCATAAGCAAGGAGCCTTGTGCACTGGTACAACCTTCTATTATTTTATTCAGTTGGACCCTGAGTGTCTCACTTTTCATGCATTTTTAATAAAATATTTTGATATGTTTATATGAACCATAAACACCTGAAACCAAGGGAACTGCTTATGATTTGTGCTGGTACAATTTAACATGTATGGTTTAGTTTTTAGCAGAAAATCTAGGAATTTACATTGTTATGAGTGATGCCAGATGAAGCAAGGTGTATCCATAATGCCTTTTCCAGTGGAGTTGGCTTCTAAGGCCTTTAGAGACTAAACTTGATGTTGAGAAGCTAAATTTTGGAGCTGGTGTTATTGCACTTAGCATTCACATTGGTAGCATGGCTTGATAAGTTGTGCTATCTGACTAACACTACCACATTTTATGCATACTAAGATCTCCAGACTTTTAGAATTGTAGTAAGAGTATTTGGAATTAAAATCCATGCTCCAGAACTTTCTGCTGAGAGTATTCAGGTAAAACTCAGATATGGGGCATGAAATTAGTAGGCCATATGTTCACTTTTGATTTTCAAAAAGCATATAGTGCGGGGGGAACTAGTGATTAGAAGATGGTATCAAATAGCAACTAGTTCATTTCTACTAGTTCTTGGAAGAGTATTTTCTGGAATATTGCCTATTTTTTTGGTGTCATTATAACTGAACATTCTATGATTATATAAAAGGACTGCTGATATAAATTTTCACAATCTATTCATATAGAATGTGCGGTATAAATTTACATAATCTATACAATTTAAGTTTCCACAATGTATCTCGAGTGGCATAGTTAGTTTCACAGTGTTCATAGTTTTATTCAGGCCCTCTGCAGTGGTGCAATCCAACAAAGAGTACACTGAAGAAGACGTCACAAACCAGATGATGAAAGGGTCTTTCTCCATGGACTCATCAGAGCTTGGACCCTTTGAATTCCCCGGGCTACGCAAAGATATTGAAGCTATTGAACGAAGCTTCCTTGGTGGTCTTAGCCATTTCTTTGAAGCAGCTGAAGAGATGAAGAATGGATTTTTCAGTGTATTTGGGGCTCCATACTTAGATGATGGGGGTCCTTCATCCTCATCAGGTAATAGGCGTGGAATACCCATTGAGGGCCATCCTCCTAAAGAAGTCTCTCCTAAAGTGAAAAACCCTAATGGAGACATCGATCTTTGTGGATTGGCCCGAGATGTTTAGACCTAGCTATTTTGAGACTAGCACTACGTTTTTTTTTTTTTGAGAAAATAAATAGTATTTGCAGTTGTTAATTTTCCTTACATATGGATCTGCCTGCACATATCTGACTTTTGTGGTGGTTTTTAGAACTTGATAGTCAATGTTGTTTATTCCATGTGGCCATCCATCAATGTGTTGAGGGTGCAGACTGAGGGCACAGGTCAAGTCAATTCATGTTTTTATGTCTATTTGTTATTCATGTTTGTCATCTGGAATTAAAAATTGGTGGTGATTGTTGGGGGCTGTTCGTTAAAATTTGGCCTAATAACCTTGTGAGGTAATAATATTCTGTAAATTTTCTCAAATGTCAAGTCTGTATCCAACCTGCTACCCCTGACCCTGTCCTTTATTAATGCGAACAAAATTAGGTGAGTACGAATTTAAGTTCAATCATTTTATACTAATAATAAGTTCTTATCCTGCCTAGTCCTCCAAACACCACAAATTAATGGGGACATATCGAAAACTAGTATAATTATCCCCACCCCAAAAGAAAAAAAAACCCAGAGATGGTAAATGAACATCAATGTGGGTTTTTTTTTCCCTACAAAATGTTTAGGCATACGTTAACTATTTCATCGAGTTTAGCGGTTAGTCACCGTGACTTGAGCTGGATGTGAGGGCTTTTAAATTGTGGACTAATGTTACACAACTCAAATAAAATTCAAAAAAGTTACAATTCAAATGCATAGCATTCAATAAATGAATGAGTTTCATCAATTTTTTTAGTGGGACTCACTCATCCAACACTCATTCCAAGAACGAGTGTTGGATTTGAATTATAATTCTTGGATTTTATTTGGATCTGTGTAATATTTTCCTAAATCGTTTTTTGACGGTGCTTTCAATTGGATTTAAGTTTGAATTGGGGCCAAACTTCCTTTAATGATGGAGAACTTGATAGACTTGGATGACAGACAAGGGTCCATCCCTATTAATTAAGAATGACAATACAGCAAGGTTCCATGTAAGATACAGTCTGATAATTCTTTCTGGTGGCACAGGATTTGTCTTGATAAGAATAATTTGAATTAATAATTCATTCCAAAATAATGAATCCAGTCTTTCATTAAATTTGAATCATTGTCTATCTCAATTACATTATTCATTGTAACCAAATTAACATTTGGGTGCAGTCGCGTGAATTAAGCATAATCGTAAATCTCGTTAAGTTGATCCTACAAAAAAATATTAGCAAACAATCAACAACTTAGTACATTATCTCAAGTCAACAAAGTCTCGTTAAAGCTCATTAAGAAGAGGGTAAATCTCACGAGTAACCGTCACCGATTTATAGTCCACGTGGTACAAAAAATAAGAAAATCAATGAGAATATAAATTTATCTCTTATTAATATAATCATGAACATCGATTACCCATGATTCATTCACATTGGAAAAATTTGTCACCAAATAATATGTTCATTGGGATGGTCATTTATATTTAACTAGCTCCAATGAGTAATTCAAGTAATAACAGAAGCGTGTTGTAAATTCAGACGTCTTTAGTTCAAATTTTGATAATCATTTGATATTAAACTATTAAGGATTTATTTCTCTTGAATACTTTAATCCTGATATAAATAACATATATTTAACAAGACTATGGAGATAATTTGTTGAGATACAGTCCGAACACACTGACCATTCAACTAAAAAAATAATACACCCCAAGTTTGAGTTTGATTAAACGACTTTTTCAAAATGAGAATAAAACTATTTTTAATTAATTTATCAAAAAATAATTATAATTAGTAATCTTGTGCATTAGATACCATCTTCAATTATAAACATTACTTTGGGGCTCCTCATGGACTGTCTATGTATGTGCAAGCACGAATTCACTCTCATCTCATTCCTTCCAAGCCAGCTCTGAATGCAACGTACCACCCACAAAATCCTGCAATACACCCAATTATCGAACAGAGCCAATCCGCACCGATGAAAATGATTGGACCATAAATCAACGACTGAGATTCGTTTAACAACTAAATTCAGCCGTAGGATCATGTCACAGCACGTTCTGACAGCTCACGATTCAACGGTTGGTGAGGGTACACGTCAAAGGTAATTGGTCCGAACGTGAGACCAATCACGTTGCACGGTCTTGCCACGGGGGCCGAGACGACGACAGCGCCCACCCTTGTGTGTTTCCGACTCTGTCCTCGTTTCGGTTGGGCCTCCACGTTCTCCATACAGTTGATGATGAAGTGTTGGGTTCCTTCAATCATTGGTGTGATGGATTTTGACTGTATTGCCTTTGGTTGGTTTTTAACTGAGAGAATTCTTTTGCCCAAAATGCCCTCTGCTGTTCTTTTTCCCCACTCTTTTGTGGAAGAAAAGTGTTATTCAAGTATACATATTAAGTTTATGTAATATTATTCGTTGTTGAATTGATTATTTTGATATTTTTGTGTTATATTGGCAATGGAATAAGGTTATGATTAGACCTGTCAATTGTGTTGGGTGAGATACGTTCGTATTAAAAAATATTTTATTTGAATCGATTCGTTTATTAATTCTTGTTTAACGAATTGTATCATATCGAGTTTGTATCATATATAAATCGTTAATAATTGATATATCAATGAGTTGATTTTTTTTAATTAACTTTATTCATATCTGATTCGTTTATTAATCGTGTTATATTAGATCCACTCGATTACAAAATAGATGGTTTAAGGAAAACACAAATTCTATAATTTCGTATTGTGTTAACGGATCATATTACATTTTAACACTCCTAGTTATAATAGACAAATTAATTTATAGTCATAAAATTTGATTTATTTAATTTGTAATTATTAAACATGAGAGTAGTCTAAGGTGAAATCTAGATAATAAAGTAACTAGATTGTTTGTCTTAAATTTTCTGCAACTCCAATCGTTTGAAAATTATTGATCCGACGATTCTAATTGAACTTTCATTCATTTTACAACTTTAAAACACTTATCTCTTCTCTATCTCATACATCCAACTCTAACTTTCTCTCGCTCTCTCTACATTATGTGTATTATTATTTTTAGTGTTTCTTTGCTTAGAGTTTGCAACTTTAACATGGTTTTATTATTGTTAAATATTATGTGTTAAATGTGCTATTGCTATTTTTGATACTTATATACTCATACATTTGTATGATTTTATAGATGATAAAATCTTAAAATATTAAAAAAAATTCTCAGGTTGTAAATATTCAAAACCAAGCTAACCACAAAAATAAAAATAAAAAAATCAAAGCCAAACTAATCAATCACCAATAAAAAAAAAAACAAGTGATATCAATTACATAAAAAAAACTAAAAATTTCAAAATCAATCTAATTACCAATAAAAAATAACAATGACCAATAAAAAAAATAAGTGAAACCAATTACACCAAAAAAAATTATAATTTTTTTTTTTTCAAGTTGTAAACATTTAAATTCAAGCTAATCACCAATAAAAAAAATAATAAAGCCAAATATTTGAGTAATTTTATAAAATGAGAAAATATTTGAATGCTAAATTTTTTTTTCCAAGTTGTAGACATTAAAAGTCAAGCTAATCAACGATAAAAAAAAAACAAGTGAAATCAATTCCACCAAAAAAAATAAATAAAATCAAAGTTAAATAATCACCAATAAAATAAAATAAAAAAAAAGTGAAACCAATTACACCAAAAAAATAAAAATAATCAAAACCAAGCTAATCACCAATAAAAAAATAAAAAATGATACCAATTGCACCAAAAAAATAAAAAAAAAAAATCAAATTCAAGTTAATCACCAATGATTGAGTTTATAATTATGTTGTGTTATTAAGTTGAATGGTGATAAATTCATGTCTTATAAATAAGCAAGATTTTATTTATTATTTAAAAGTTATAAATTTTATTAGGTTTTGTTAGTATTTTTTTTTTTGAGATATTTGTATATGTGATGTTGTTTGGGGGAATTTTTTATACATTTTTGTGATAGTTCTATTAATATGGAGGATATAATCGACAATATATTTTGGATCATTTTAAAAGAATTAGTATAAATATTTTCAGGGCATTTTCTCTTTCAATTTGGACAATTATTTGTGATTTTTTTATGTGTTATATAGTGCATTTAGGCACGGATAATGACTAGTAAAATAATAAAATATAAAATATTTTTTTATATGCCATGTTTTAATTAAATAAAAAAGAAAATACAGTATTAAAAATTAATTTTTAATATTATGGCCTCGGCATAAGAGAAGTAGATGCCAATGTATGTGCCATGTCTCCCCTTCCTCCCTACACTTCTAAAGATTTTATATTAAATGCATGCTTTAGGCGTATTCGAGAAATATAAATAAAAATTTACAATTATTTACAAATTAATTCTCTTTTTCTGTTTGCGTTTGTGCACGTGCGTGTTTATGCATGAACAAACACATAACTCTTATGTTCTAAAAATTGTATTCCACTACCACATTTTCCCCCATTTTTTTGTTCTTTTGGTTGTTGGCAATTTTTTTTATATTCTCTCCAAAGTACAAGCAATGCTCACAAAACCCTTCAATCCAATTTTTATAGTAGTGCCATAGTGGAGATGTCAATATGATGGTGATGGTTGAAAAATGTTGTGTGGTCCAAAATATTGTCATTTATTGATGGGTGTTGATAAAGTCATGAGAAAAAGAAATCTACAATGAGTTTATATCCACCTTGTTCTATTTTCAGGTCTCCTTTACTACAAGTACAATCAATATAAGATGTTTGTACTTTGCATATTTGTTGAATTTTTGAAACTATGTTTACCCTCTTAATAAGGAACATTGACCAACTTTGGACTTGACACCCTTCTACCATGAAAGAATCCAAGCCAATGCCAGCCTAAGGATTTTCTTAAAATTGTAAGTGAATTACATCGGTTTTTTCGTATGATTTTTTACTCGATTTTTCTTAATGTTATATTATTTGTCAAGAATAATTTAATTTTGTTCAAACATGCCACCCTTATATTGTGTAGTTGTAAAACACTCGTAGAGAATTTCGACAATATTGCTTCTATGTTTAATTTAAGTTTTGCCAAAATTTTTATAAAATACTTTGATTAATTATCGATACGACATCTTTAGAATGACTAAAAAAATGAGATAAAAAAGTAACAGTCACTTTATTTGCATGATTGGACTTCCTAACACTTGCAATGCCCTTCCTATCACCTCAAGAATGATACCAAATCTTTATATTAATCGCCATGACAATTAGGGAAGCTAATGTAGGACAGCCTCCACCTTGTATAACAACATAGTATATAGTTCATCCACTATGCAATGCATCAAACCAGAGAAAATATACTCCTACAAAGTCAAGAAGAAGAGATATTGGTAGTGAAATAAATTATCGCACCTACGGTCAAATCAATTGGAAGAGAAGTAATAGATTCTTTTTTGTGAACAATTTCATGCTAATTCTACGGTCTAGTGTATTCTTATAACATTTACTAAATTGTTTCTTAAAATTTTAGAATTAATTCATATTTTCTTATCAATGATAAAAATACTTTACATTGTTGACATGACAAAACGTCTATCACCATCATTCAAGTTTATGCTTCCTTGATGATGGCATAATCTTAAATGTCTGCTCTGTTAGCTCATAATTTTTTTCCATGCTAATAAAACCAATATTTCTTCTAACAAAATGACAATCAATTATATGCCAAAACAGGAGAATTTTGTCTTCTTTTTTTTTTTTTAAGGTGGGTGTGGGGGG